TGTAGGGCTGGGCTGGGCGGCGGGGAGCCGCGGGCTGGCTGAGGAGAAGTGCCTTGGACAGCGCTCGCTGTTCACGGGGCAGAGAGCAGGACACTCGGGTGCGCCGGCTACGGACTGGGACTTGTTCCCATCTGAAAAGTGGCGTTTTTCTTTTAAACCTTAAATAGCAAGCTTGAATTAAGCTTCTGAAATTACAGGTTTTTATCCTTGACACTTAAATGCTTGTACTCTGTAAGCGGAGATATGGTGGGGCAGCCGTGTTTGTAGAGAAAGGCCCATTACTCGTAGGCTGGTTGTGACTGATACCCTCCAGAAAATTTAAACCGTGACGTCTGTGCCATGAACTCCTTAAATCAGGTTTTCAGAAGCAACGTAGTCCTTGCAGCTGGCTAGATTTCCTTTCATTGCTTCAGCAGTGCAAATTTAAATAGGTATTTTTTGTTTGGGTTGCTGTCCCTGTAGTGTTTTCAGAGAGAATAACTCTCTCCTAAAGGTATCCTGTTATAAACCACAGAAATGAATTTCAGTCTTTAGCTTGGAACAAAATGTCATAAGCCCTCTCCCCATTTTGGTTGTAGTGTTTTGGGTTTTTTTTTGTTTGGGTGTGTTGTGTTTTGTTGGTGTTTTGGTCTTTTTAAAAAACATGAAGAGATTTTAATTAATTCAGTTTATTTTCAGAACTGCAAAAAACTTAAATGCTGAAGACAAATGCCAATAGAAACTTTTAGCTATGAATGTGGTTTTAAATCACTGGGTATTCACCAATACTAATTTGTATTATTTCTCTAGCATCCTGATTGGGTTGTAGTTGGTTAATGTAATTATAAGGAAGAGTCTGCCCTCTTAAATCATGTTGTTCTCCTACTACTGAGTCAGTCCTGTTCTTTTAGTCTCTTTTGGTTTTGATGTTCTTATTCAGATGTTGTTCTCTAATGAAATGTGAGAGAGATTTTAAGTTAAATTATTCAGTATCTTCCTTCAGTGAATTAAAAGTTCACCAATTTTTCTTCGGGTGTGTTTCTTCTTGAGGTGCATATTAGAGGCTGAGAGTTGGCTGCTCATAACTATCTGAGATAGTCCTCACTGTCCAGGACTCTCTTTTTAGTACATATTATTGCCAGTAGTAGGTTCCCAGTATACTATTTTAAAATATTGGCACTGTCTTCAGTGGAACTAATTTCAATACTGAATTTAACAGTATCAGAAGTGTAAGTTGTGGTGCTGAATTCTATGTTTTTCAACAAAGAAAAATCTAAACAAAACTGTGTGGTGTTGTGTATGAAGACAATGTATACAGTCCTAGTCATTTTTGGAGCCCTATTATTTGTAAAAATACCTGGTTTCTTTTATTGGTTCCTAACCAGCAATCTAAGAATTAAGACTATGGACCTTGTCACTGAGAGAAATAGCTAATATTCTTCCAGGAATTCAAAACCATTTTCTCTTATACAAAAGATTTTTTTTTCTTATCCATTCCCTTCTGAGGGTAGTAGATAGCATTCACCATCTGCTTTAGAATCTGGACTAGAGCAAAAATGACCTTTATATTTCAGTCTCATTACACAAGACACAGACTACAAAGAGCGTGTCTATACTCAAGGTTCAGAACCACCTAAGGTGACTTTGCCTGAGCCAGCTCCAGTCCAGCAGCTGTAAAGTTGTTGACAACTCAGAGTCCATCTGATCATCACTGAGACGGTTAGGGGGCTGGAGCACTTGGAGTATGAGGGGAGTCTGAGGGAGCTGTACGTGTTCAGCTTGGAGAAGAGAAGGAGGTGGAGGAATGTAGTTACTGTCTTCCACTGCCTGAACTAGAGAGAAAATGATGCCAGATTCCTGGTGCTGTGCAGCAGCTGGAGGAGAGGCAACATGCTCAAGTTGCAGGGAGGGAAATTCTGACTAGGCATAAGGATGACATTCTTCACAGTGAGATATGAATCAGGGGAGAAGGTTGCCCAGAGAGGCAGTGCCTTTAGAGACCTTCAGATCTCAACTGGACAAAGCCCTGTGCAATCTGACCTGACTTTTTGTAGCTAGCACTGCTTTGAGAAGGAGAGTGGATAATGAGAGGCCCTTTTCAGTGTATTTTATTTCTATGATTCTATCATAGTATGTTTGTATAGAGCTGTGTCCAGACCAATCCAAACTCTGTCTGTAGGCTATACTGCACCCTATAGGCTTATTGGCTTGGTAAGCAGTAGTTTTATGATGCAGTGTGGATACACTATTAGGAGATGTATTCATGCTAATATTACAAAAGACTGGTAGTTGTTACAAGGTCTGTGGTAAGAGCCTTTTTGCAGTTGAATGTGTTAGACTGCAGAGAAATAAATGGCTTCATATTTTCCCAGTAGAGTTACATCTACTCCAACTACCAGACAAAAAGCAAGCTTGTCACGTAAATCTTTCTGTATTGGTCATAATACTGCTTTTCCCTTGCTTATGCTGAAATAAATTCATCATCTGTGTCACTGCAGACTATGACACTGGTATGGGCATTAGAATTTCAAGGTGTGAAAAATCTTGCACATGGACCATGCCTAACTGGAACATAGACTGTTGAGATCGTTAAATGAGAGACTGAAAGAGATATGTGGTTATTGTGGCAAAATCTTCAGTCACCTTTTCTGTAAATGCCAAAAAAAGCTAGATTAAAAATATCAAAATTGGCCTGCTTGGTGGTTAGAGTAATCTAATTCACCAGGCATTTTGATCTCTATGCAAGGGGAAGCCAGATATATTTAATCTCATTTGGAGGGAGAAGGGTAGAAGATGGATTTTTTTGTTAAGAGTAGTGCTGTTGGTTTTGAAACAAGATACTTAAAACATTTTGTTGTATAACTCCCTCTTGCAGCTAGTGGTAGTCAAAGAGTTTCTCTGAATCATGTTCAGGGGAAAAACTTCCTAGAGCTGGAATGAGTTTGCTCCTCTTTTTGCAAGATGGACCACAGATTATGCAGAGATTACTAACAACTGATAATGTATGTCTATACGTATTTTATAACTGTCAAATTCCTGTATTTCGTGGGAGGTTTTCTTTGAAGCCTGATTTGATTTTTGGCTCACTTGAGAGTTGCCAGAGTTTATCCTTGACTGCAAAATTAATGTCAATAGTTAAGTGCCTAGAACTTCTGTCAGTTCTTCACCACAGCAACTGTATTGCAAATAATAGCTAGCCCGATTTGTCTAAGGACAGCTGGGGTATGCTGCATTGTATCTTTCTGCTTGTATCGGGTGCTTTGTATCTTTCTGCTGTTACAGCCTTTGCATAAGATACAAAGCAGAAGGAGGACGTCTGTAGCATAGACATGTAGTCTTACTGCAAGTGCAGCTGCATGGAAAGAGGTGGCGTGGCCAGTGCCAGGGGTATTGGTGGTGGTGCGAAACAGAGGAGAAATAGAATAGCCAGAGAGTTATGTTAGAGCCAATTTTAAATAATTTTACAACTAGATTGTCTTGTTTGTTTATAGGAAGTTGCTATACCTTCCTAAAATGTGCTAGCCAGAGTCCTGGATGTGGTCGGAGAGTGCTTTTGGACAGACAGCTTTGATGTCTGACGCTGAGGGATCGGTGTTGTGAAAAAACAGAATACCGGGCACACTTAAATGAAAGTTTATGGATTAGAAAAAAAGGACTATTTTGTGTTTTAAAGGGTGTTGACTGAGGAGCGGGAATCAAAAAAATTTTTTTTTGTATTATTTCATGGTATCTCATAGTGCTTTAATGTATATCTTGGCAAAAAGGTAATATAAATGCTTCCCAGCCTAAAATTAATTTTTCAGAGCTGTGACTTTTCAAAGGTATTTGAGAAAGTTGAATTCTACATGGAAATACTCTAGAAAGATTAGGGGAAGTGATATGAAATTGTATGTGTAAAAAAATTATTATATGAGGTAAAAACAGAATTATAGCTAATTACAACTTTTAAGTATTCCCAGAAGTCTAATATTAGTAATAATTTAAATGTCTAGTTGTGATTTTCTTTCTTTTTTTTTTTTTTTTTTTTTCAAGCCCAGTCCAAGTGGCAAAGGGAAGTTGGCAAAGAGAACAGTGAACTTGTTACCACAGTTGTCTCAGGTAGTGTTGTCAGCTTTTTTTGTAAGCTTTCATTTTCAAATATGTGTCACATCATGGTTATGTAAAGGTTGTGGTTCTCATTCAAATATGTGCTCAGGTGTATATTTTCTCTCTCTCTTTCTGCACTATGTATGTATATTATATTTGTATATGGAGCATTGCTTATATTTTGATATTTTGAAAACATTGAAAGTGGAGTATTTGAACAAATTTGAAACTAAGCAATGTACAAAACTAGAGAGTTTACAAATATTTACGTATGAGTTTAACATGCTTATGTCTACTTGTCTGGATATTTAGAATTTGAGGGCAACATATAAGTAGTAGTTTATTGTATGATTTTTATGCCGCCTTATTGCTGCTGTATATTAGGCTACAGTTTCTTTGATTTACTATATTTAAGAAGTCTTGAAGTGTCTGTTAGTAGCACCTACAAGTGCAAAACTAGAATATAAAATATTTATTCCAGGCAAGATCTAAACCACTGTGGCAGCAGACTTGTCCCTCATTCCATCTGAGCAAAGAACAGAAGGATGACGAGTCAGATGAGTTTACTTTAAAAAATGAATGTTCACCTGGTAAGGTTAACATTTTTAGTACTACTGAAGAAAACCTCTTGGAAACATAAATATGTGTGTGATACATTTGATCATTTTTTAAAACTTAATTTCAAAATGTATTTTCTGCAAGGAGAATGCTTAAAGCTGAGATGCAAGAAACACAAGATACAGGATTCTAGAGATAATGAACCAGGTGCTGGACCATCAACTTCTACACTGCAGAGCAGCAGTCATCTGAAAAAAACCCATGAAAGTTTTAGAAGTGCTCTTGTTCACATTATATTGTGAGTTTCCTTATCTTTGAATAATGTGGTTTTCCTTTTTCATAGATGAATTTTTAAAATTAAATTACTTTAAAATTTTGATGATTGCAAATTGAAAGTATGTATGTGAGCATGAACTATATCACCAATTTTAAAAGCTGAACCTTAGCAGGTAAAATACAGGCTTGGTCACATGCTTCAGTGTTCTTTTTGAATCAGAATATCTTGTGCTAATTGTAAAGTTTTGGCAGTTACATTTTTTGTTTTGTTTGTTCACAACTGACATGTAAGATGGCTATATATTACTTATACCAGTAAAATGTATGTATACTCTTTGGTTTTTTTGTCTCAGACAGCAAGACCTTAATGAAGATCAGCTTCCATCCCTTGATGGAACCCAGCCTCCAGGAGCAGATTCTTCTACACCAATAGAGAAAGATATTTTGGTAGCTAAAGACTATTTTCTAGAGTGTTAAATGAAATACAATGCCAGTCATTTCTTGTAAATATTGACAAGATGATTGTCGCAATGAAAGATGATTGACAGTGACATATTTTTCTGCTATCGGTTTCACACAATATAGTGTTACTGTTGAGGATGGAACATTAAGAACGTATGGATGATTGAAAGAATTGCAAACCAGAATAGTAACTGGAGGATAACCAATGTCAGGAAGTAATACATGAATCTTTTCTACACTTGATGAAGGTGAGAATAACTTGCAAGGGAGGGTGCACTGCTTTATCTGAGCAGATAGAATCCATAAGACAATTCTCTTTGTGTTACCCTCATCTAAGGGCTAGGGTGTTCTTCATTCTCATTCTGGTTTAAGATACCTTGTATGATAATTGTATACACAATTTTGTGATTTATGTATATTTTAAATAGAGTAAGTTCATTTTGGGATAAATTTATCAAAATAGATTCCTGTGTTACTTCCTGACATTGGTGATCTTCCAGTTGATATTCCATTCTGCATTTCTTTGAATTTGGGCTGATATATTTCTTCATCTATGTTCCTTTAATGCTCTGAGGCTTTGTTATTCAGATTTCACATGCCTGTTTAAATGCTGGCATACAAGCAGATGTACTTATTTGTGGTTATACATTCATATTCTGAGCAATGCGTTAGCTGTACGTTGCATATCCACACAAAACTCTGCAGAAGGCATGGCTTTCTTTTTGAATGTATGGTGCAGCCCCAGACCTAATGGATAATAATGGCAGTATTGGAATGATGAGATAGATGAATATATACATTGAAAATTTATTTAAGGAAAAGATTGGTGCTGGGGCAGTGCAAATGAGAGCATCTCTCTAGAATTGTAGAATTGTAACAGCAAAACAAAAACCAAAGCCAGATTTCTATGAGTTATGTTTGTTCTTCAAGGAAATACTTGTGTTTTATCTCTTATCAGAGAAATAGAATGAGTCTTATGCCACTATACCCTGTTTTATTATCTCAACAGCTTTTTTATCGTTTTTCTACCAACTAGTGTTTGGCAGGCTGATGAAGATATTTACGTCAGATTTAGTGATGTACTTGTAATTTATAACATAAATCAGTATTTAGTACTAATTACATTTATTTTTATGAAATAAGCTCATATATCTAGCTGAACCTGTAGTAGTAGTGACTATCTAGTGCTGGACTTAACTGATGCATCTTATTTTATCCTGCAGAAATACTATTATTACATTCGCCATGGAATCGATACAGCAAATGTGGCCCCAATGGATGAATCATGGCTAGATCACATCTTAGCTTTAATTCCACATCATCTGAAAGTGTATGATGAAATTATACATTCACTGACTGATGAAATGAAAGAAGACTATCTTCTGAGTATAAAAAAAGCTATAGGTAGATTTCTGGGAGTTTACTTGCATTTTCTCTGAAGTTGCTAATATTCAGGAGCATTCATTTGTTGAGTGCTGTTCACTGCTGAGAGCTACCGTTGTGGAAGAGTTATATAAAAGTGCTCTCCTGGATGTTAGAGGCACATTTTAATAAAAAAAATACTCAATTTTTCTTATCCTTTTAATGATCGAAGCTAATATTCAGTATTTTTGATCTTTCAACACTTTTAAAAAACATTATTTTATAAATTCCTAATTAATACTACAGCTTTCTCCTAAATCCCTTTTCATTGTATATCTAGATAAAAATGTTCATCTCAATGAGTTGGACATTTTGATTGAGACATAGAGGTGCTTGAGCATGTCCAAAGAAGGGCTGTGAAGCCGGTGAAGGGTCTAGACCCAGGTCTTATGAGGAGCGGCTGAGGGAACTGGGGTTGTTTAGCCTGGAGAACAGGAGGCTGAGGGCAGACCTTACTGCTCTCTACAACTACCTGAAGGGAGGTTTTAGCCAGGTGTGTGTAGGTCTCTTCTCCCAAGTGACAAGCAATAGGACAAGAGGAAATGGACTCAAGTTGTGCCAGGGGAGGTTTAGATTGGATATTAGGAAAAATTTATTTACCGAAAGGGTTGTCAAGCACTGGAACAGGCTGCCCAGGGAAGTGGTTGAGTCCCTATCCCTGGAGGTATTTAAAAGATGTGTAGATGTGGTGCTTAGGGACATGGTTTAGTGGTGGACTTGGCAGTGTTAGGTTAATGGTTGGGCTTGATGATTTTAAAGGTCTTTTCCAACCTCAATGATTCTATGATTGTATTCCTTTACTAAGCTTATTTTGGCTTGACTTTTTTTTTTTTAAATACTTTTTTCAGTTGACTTTGTTTTAAGAGACACCAGGGAAAAAGATGAAGACAAGAAGAAAGATCTTCTTCTACCTCATCGTGCAGAGTAAGAAAATACATTTATTCAAAAACACTGACTAGAGAACAGTGCGGTAGAATAGCATGAACAGTCTTAATAGTGGTAGGCAGTGTCAGCTGTAAATAAGACTTAGTTATTAGTTATGTAAATTCAAATAATCATTATACAGCATCTTTGGGAAAACCCCTGGAATATATGTGTCTACCTTGACAGGTTGCTTGGAGTTAGTTTTGTTTACTTGCCAGTTTTGTAACTGGTAAGAAGTGTCACAATTAATCCCACAGCATTTGAAAATGGGATATATTACGCCAAATGCTTACGTATGAACTCCGTTCTAATCAATGGAACAATGTCCTATTCTGCACAGATTCACTGAAGCTGTCTTATTTACAGATTATGACAGTTTGGTTCAATACATACAGGTTTAAGGTAAATACAGACTGTTTTGTTTCTCAGAACAATTCAGCGATATGTAGTATAAACAGCGATAGATGCCTAGCTTTTCTGGCTGGATTTTCCGGTATGTAGCAACCTCCATACTGGAGTGGATAGATGTAACCTGTATTTAGAGCAATGAACTATCTTCATTCCATTCACATTTGCCTTAAAAAGTCTGCAGTCTACTGAAAGCAAGTGTACTGCTACTCCCAGGATCATACATCTGTCCAGTGCGGATCAGCCTACCTAGTATCAACTTTCCTAGAATATAGTTTAATTCTTCCCGAGATGTGAAAGTGAAGAGGTACCTCTTTCATAGTTATAGCCAAAAGCTGGTAAAATAAATTTTTCTATTCCTTGTAGAGGAATGAAGTCTTACAAATGCTGCAGAAACAGAACATTTCTACCAATATCATCTGGGCTTTATACTGGGGGCAGCATTACTGAGTGGTTTTAAAAAACAGAAAAGGTTTTGTTGTAAATAATTTCTGGCCTGTGGCTTGAGGTAGGTGCTTTTAAATATCAAATGGTAGGCATTATAATATAATAGAAGGGATGGCTGTGGCAGATTTTACTTAAGTGATTTGCATCTTAAAAAGCGAAATAATATGTGATGAATTTGTTGTTGTTGTTGTTGTATCCCCTGGGTAAGAGGCCATCCTACATCTGACTCTTTGGAGATCTTCCATATCTCCTAGGAGCTGTGTAGGACATCACAGTAGTTTGTATATAAGCTTATATCACATACTTACATGCAAATCCAAACGTACAAAATTCTCTTAGTAGAATAATCATTAGTAAAATAGTTTTATTCCATTAACAGTATGTGAAATATGAAACTTTTATTTCAGAAAGTATCCTTTTTGATAGGAATTTATTATGAAAAAGGGAACAAAAAATATTACAAATATATGACAAATTTGTCAGGAGTGTTCTTGCTTTTCCTTTGCAACCTAAAGTTTGCAGTGGATATTTTTTAAGATGCAACGCTCAATATTTTAATAGTAAAATCAGTCTGCCTGTAGAAAATCATAACAAATTTTAAAGAAAAAAAATTGCTATGAGTATACTAAAAAACCCACCAAAAGAGCTTAATGTTTTTTAAAAATTGAAAGCAAACCAACTGAGTTTATAAAAAGGCTCTAAATTTATGAGTTTTTACAGATTTGATGTGATGAGCGTAAACATAGGTACTACGTATTGTAGAAAATTGCATATTAATTGACTAAATACATTGTAGACATATAATGATTTTATTACTATTGCTAAATATAAGGGACTATGAATAGATTACAGGTCTCTTGGGATTTGACCAATATTTCTCTCATTTCTTTTTTTTTTTTAATACAGTAGTTGATATTTGAAGACTTTTTTTTTTTATATCTGACGAATGAACAGAAAGCTAGATTTATCTTCTGAATTCTGTGCTTTCTGGGATGCCAACAATTGTCTTAAAGCAAATGTATAAATATTTTGGTTCTTAGCACAGCTACATTCATCCTACTGTTGATTTTATGGTGGTTGTTTGGTTTTGGGTTTTTTGTTTTGTTTGGGGTTTTTTTTTGGGTTTTTGTTTTTGGTTTTTTTTTTTTTTTTTTTTTTTTAGAATAGAAGTAGTGCCAAAACCTTGGAACAAGTCTTTCTTGTCAGCATGCAGTTACATGAAAAAAAACCTGCATACAATAAATCCTTCAATGCTTGCTGTTCTGAACTTATGGGAGACCTCATTTAAGTAAGTGTTATCTATATCTTTTAGATTTCAACTGCTCAGTGATTTCAGAGTCTATACAGGGAAATAATGGATGGTGACATCTTAAGATTTCCAAGTTGCCCTATTGAACTTGGGAATGCTGCAAAATATATATATGAACACTGATCATGGATATGATGGCTTTGTTCAAAAGCCATTATCCTAAATATTTTTGTTTGTGTTCCATCTAACTTTATGCTTTGAAGAGTTTCTGCCAACTTTTCCTCTATAGAGGTCAAGCTTTCTTATCTGTACTTCCCCAGAGATCACGTGGAGCACTTTGCCATCTTCATTTCCTTTGGTATCTAGGCAGTTTTAAGCAAGAAGCCAGACATGAAAGTTGTTTGTGTTTTGTTTTTTTTTTAAATTTTTATTTTTAATTTTCTCTTCATTATCTTACAGACTGTGGTAAGCATTCTGTTTCTGACATGTTTGAAAAATAATTTATTTTTGGATATGACTTCCATTTTTAAAATTCTTGCTTTTAGTGTAGTCCTTTCATCTCTATTTAAATTTGACACTTTATTTTTTTTTTTTGGTCTTTCTCAGGTTAGGAATATTCAAAGTAGTCTGTCTCCCAAGAAGAGAAAAGTTGCTGTCTTGCCTAGCAGGGCATTTATGTTTTTTCCTTTTATCTGACTGACATGGGAAAAAGGCACTAGATGGGCTATTATTTTCTGCTTCCCAGAGTAGACCAAGCTGCTTGCTTATTTCTTGACTGGGGATACAAAAGAGAATAAACTGACCTGTCCAGGCCAGGTGCTGTGACAAGTGGTAGGGAGTGGCTTGGGGTTTTTTTTGTTTTAATTTTTATTGTATCTGCTAAGTAGGAGACAAAATTCAGACAATATATTTTAAAAATACAAAAAATGAAAAGGCTTAGATATTTATTTATTTATAATATTTGTAAAAGTCCATCCAGTCCTAGAAAGGAATGCTGTTTAATGCATTCAGAATTTTTAATGTTTGATCCTGTATACAATGTAACATATTCACAAACTCTGATTCTGAAAATAGTTATTAATATGCTCAAATGTAATAATTACTACTTCAGTTTAAGACAATGTGCATAGACAGTACTGCAGTGCTTATGTTTGGTTGTTCTGAAACAATAGAAGCTAATTTCTGAAAATAACATTATTTTTAAGTGTTAAAAATGTTTAAAATCACTTTATGTTTGAAATATGAAAGACGAAAAAAGTTTTATGGAAACAAAAGAATAAAAAAGATACAGTGAATATGTCCCTAAAATATTCATGTTATATTTTGTTTCAGAAATTTACGCCTTATTGATACAGAAATACTTCACAATAAACAAGAAGCTGAGGAACTCTTATGTTTCCAGAATAAAGTCATGAATGAAATTGGAAAATCCAAAGTGATTCTATCTAAGAAGTATGATCCAGTGTATCCATATTTTTTAAGTTACAGGGAAATCTTTAACTTTTTTTTTCAGCTGTTTTTGAAACTCTGAACTTTCTGGAGAGAGAATGACCCATATTAATAATACATGTTAAAGAAAGAGGTGCAGTGTTGTGAAATACTTTGAGGCCTATGAACGAAAGCTGCTATGTGAATCTTGAGACCATTATCATGATTTGTGCGGTTTTCTTATTCTGAATTTTGGTGTGACGTATTTTGCTCGATTCTGAGGGGGACATTAACAACATATGTGTTTTGGTCTATTATGACAAAAGCTTTTATTTTGTGGACTCATTTGTGCTGGATAAATGAGAAAATACGATGTTGCTACTATCAATAATTTATGGGATTTTAGAATATAAACTGTGATATAACTTATTATATAATAAGAATCGCCCCATTCCTACTTCACACAAAGGAAGTGTCTCATTGATAGGAAGGTTAACCTAGTATCACTTCAGTAACAGTATCTCTGTAGAACTCATCTCTATTGATGATTTTGGAATTTCAGTTTGTATATTTTCAGTTTTGTAGCTGTTTCTGAGAGCAGAGTCATCTGAAAAATGTATTAATGAGATCTGTTTACTTTAGATATTATGACCAAGATTTTCAAAAGTAAAGTGTTTGAATATCATGTTTGTATATTCAGTCTGAGATATTTTATAAGACGACAGACAGTTTTCCTGGTAGTGCACTCAGGATGCTGCAGTTAAGTTTTCAAATAAAGCATCAAAACTGCTAGGTCTTTTATAGATATTTGTGGCCAAACTATTGTTTGTATGCATCTGATCTTTCTTTAACCAATAATACTTCATTCCTGCAGTTATGTATTGCTGCATTTTTACTATTTCAGGTTTTAATTAAATAAAACAACTGTTGAGACTACTATAGTCTCAAATACTTGTTTTTTCATGCTATTAACCTTGAAGATTTTTATTTCTGTACTTGTCTATGATTCTGTTACGTATTGCCTTTACCATTTTCAGATGTATTTCTTCCTGACCCTGAAGATACTTTTCTGCTGTTAACGGAAGGCTGCACACTTCTGTGCTTGCTTCCTTCCTGTTTCCTAGCAATGCCAGAGCCAATTTAATTTTGATTAAGGGTAACAGGGCAGAATTCCTTTTGGATTGCTTTCATATCTTAATGTATGTTTACTGAGGTTACAAGGCCCCATAATGAACTGCACAAACTCTGGGACTTGTGTGCTGCCTTTGAAGCCTTTCTGGCCTGAGAAATACGAGACCAAAGCAAATTTGGTCTGTCATAATATCTTACATTTTAAATATGGTTCCATAATAATAGATAACATTTTCAGATTCCTTAGCATTTAAGTAGGTCATATGGTAGTATCTTTAAGTTAAACTATAGTTTCCCAAGTATTCTGCAGCATCTTTTGTCTGCATGCAATATATGCATATATAAGTAATTAACTTAAACCCACAGATTTGTTAATGCTAATCACTTGAAAACCTTAAAAGTATTGTATTCTTTTAAGGTGGTTTCCAGAAGTGCAGAAAATCTTTTACCAAGGTAATAAACGAAAACAAGTACCCAGCAATGCCAGCATCACTAAATTAGAGTCTTTCTTTGGTTGTGCTGCCACTTTGATGACTCATCAACTGCAACAGTTACTTTTACATTCAATTCAAGACTTCACAGATTTAATTGTTCAACCTGCAGTAAGTAGTCTTTCATATAGATACTAGCAGCATTGTTTATCCATGTATGTACACTTTGTTTCCTGTTTATTTTGCTGCTTTTGAAAAAAATAATAGAAAAAAGTACAAATTCTGATGACAGGTGCTTTCTGGAAAAGGAGTAATATTTTAGGAATCCATTATTTATTAAGTACAGTTAAAGTAACTTTATTTTGTCATGTGAGAAGGGAAATAACATATTTTAAATCTAGTATCCTCAAGAACGCACTGCAGTCAGTTAAATAGACATGCAGTAGAAATTCATTAATATAAAGGCTGTCTGCATCTTGCAGTAGTGCTCTCTCTCTGTAATACCCATCTGTGAAGAAGTCTTATCTTCTGTCTGCTATTAGATGATGTCTGCTGCATGCTTTGGCAGAATAATTCTTGAGGAAAAATAAAAGAAGGAAAGGAGTTTCTCTTTTGCACTCACATAATGTCAATTGTAGAGATAAATAGTTCTCGTTGATATTTGATGTCTTGGACTGCAACTGTAACTTTGTTCAGCTCTTTGTTATTATAGCCTTGCCATCGAATATCCACAGAACTCTGGCTCCAGATAATACTGATGAAAAAAACACACAGAGAATGTAAGGAAATAGGGAATCATGTTGTGAAGTAGAGGATTTTTCATTCCTACTCCCCTGTAATTGCTTGTATACTTCTGAGTTGAGTGAGCTTTAATATCTGCAGTACTGTTTTCTGTTATTAGAAAATACGTACCTATTACTAATAATCTTGTCCTTCCTAATGGCGATCCTATGCTACCTAGTAGTGATAAAATGCTTCCTCATGTTTCCTAATTAAATTTTAGTGTAGTTAGAATATGTTAGCAGATGTGGGAAAGTTAAAAGATGTCTGAGCCAGATTAAAGATATGATGAAAAATCAAATTATGCCACCAAGGACAAAAGCATATGCAAATTTTCATACTGGAATACATAGGAATCCATACTGCACATAGAAACTTCATAATACTGTTTGTGGATCAGATTTGTGTTTAGCAAATGAAATTGGATGCAACACTTTTTTTTAAGGTTAGTAGTTTCATAGTGACTGCTCCAGATGATGAATACATGTATTGCTGTACACATAATTAATGTATTGTTACACTTGTGAGGGCTACTACTTTAAAGCTACTCTGCCTCAAACTATGCAAACAACTTTTATAAAGTTGCCTTGTCTATAGAGGGTGCCTCTTGTGCCTACTAAAAATGATCTTGTATTTCATCTTAATGAACATCAGTTTGTGTGAATTTTATCAGAGACATACTTCCTACTTGCACAAGTATTTTTTGTTAGGATTATGGCATGCCATTTGCAATTAAAGCCCTTACAATTTAAAATGCATATACTGGAGTAATTCTTAATGATCCTTTGATTTTTTCCTGCATGAGTTAGGTTAAGATTTTACCTTTTTTTTTTTTTTTTTTTTTTTGTGTGTGTGTGTGCTAGAAATCAGTCCAAGCCTACAAACACCCAGGTTTCATCCTGAGGCTAATCCTTGAGAATGACGGTATTAAATTTGAACATGACTTTAATGACTATGAGGATATATTACTGAATGTTTATACTGTTATGATTCAAGCTGTCAGTGATATACCAAGAATTGAGACGAAATTATTTTCTAAGTGGGTAAGAAATTAATGAGTTTTGTTTTATCATTATATTGTTGCTGCATTTAGTTCCTAGGTATTTTAATGAATAGCCTTATTGTCAGAACTCACATAGTAATATTATAATACTCTTTCAGGATATTTGGAACACTTTGAAATCATCTTAAGTTTATTAGTAAAAAGTCCAATCACTGTTCTCTAACCAAATAAAAAGCCAAGAATCTACTAGTTTCCTCTGAGTTATTTTCTGCAGCAACTACTACAAATGTGCTACAAACAAATTAGATGCATTTAATTTTGAACACATTTCTGCAGTATTCTGGAAAATACCTTCTATTTTGATACTGGAAAGGGTACTGTCTTTTAAATATAGAATCTTTTGAGTAGACTATAGTTTAAAAAAAAAATCTAAACCATGATTTTTAAGCAGTTTATATTTTAATAGTTTTATGCATTCAATCAGATTAAAACATTAGGTCAAACAGGAAACAATCCAGGTTAAGTAAAATGAGGGCTGTGGGAGGTGAACATTTCTTTTTTCCTGAAGGAATATCATGTGGATGTTCTGTTGCGCTTTCTGTTTAGCATGAACTTGAATTTTAAATAGAGATACTAGTCCTCAACATTTTTGTTAGTATGCTTGAACACATGACCAAGCACAAACCTGAGTAGTATGCTATGCTTTATAAAAGCACTGATCAATAACCTGTGAAAAGAAAAATTAAAAGCACCTCAGGCATGTCTAAATGTGCAAGAGCAAGGCTTTAGGTCTTCTAGGTGGTTGCAAGAAAGTATTTTCCATATTTCTAATGTTACAGGTTCATCATTTGATAGCAAAATTGAAGTTGTACCTGTGGTTCAGGAGAAATAAAATCTATATAGAATAAATTTAAAATTGTTGATAGGATTATGTTGGGTGGAATAGTATGTGGAATTCTGAGTTCATGAAAGAAGCAGCTCTAATTTCTTACTTGGAGGCAAACATCTATAAGCTAGTATTAAAAAAAATTTGGGAGTAGAATGTAAATAGCTGTATATACAAAATTAGGTTTGTAATCAGACTTAAATTAGAAAGATTTTAAAGTAACATTTAGTTGATTTTTCTATCCTGTTTATCTTCCATGACATACTGAGCTACAGACATAACTAATTTGAAAATATTCTTGTTTTTTTGTGTGTGGGTTTTGGTTTTTTTTTCCCCCAAAGCCACAAGGTGAGTTCTCGTCAACTGTCTTGAAGCCTGTTATCCTAGATGAGATCTTGGATGAACATAAGAAAAGGATCAGAGAAGAAATTATCAAAGAAAGTGCTGCACCTGTGGAACATCTCAAGCTGTATGATAAGTACAGCTTCCTGATAAACAAACAAGCCGAACAAGATATCGATCGATTCCTGACAGAGGAACATAACTTTGAAGAAATGAAAAGGGAAATTATAAAGTACCAGAAACTTGCTAAGGAAATAAAATATAATTCTAGGAAGGTAAATCATAATAATATTCATAAAGAGATATGGATACATTTTAATTTTGAATTTGTCCTAAGAATGTTGTCAGTCAAAGGTGATGATAATTAGCTGTGAGATAATTAAAGTGAAATAAAATTGATTTTTTCAGAAAAAGTTTTTCAGGAGTTAGCATTTCTGGGGTGTATTTGCTATACTTAAGTGAGACCTTAGTTATTTTTGCTAGAAATTGTTTTGGGACTTCTGAGAGCATTCAGAGTATGTTCTTCTTAAATGTGAAGACGTAAGAGAAAGTGTGGGTCCGTCTGCCTCCAAATTCCTTCCAAGCATCTAAGGCAGAGAGAGAATCCTTAACATGAACCACTTTTTTTGTCCCTGTACGGATATTCTGTGGCAAGTACTCTTTGTCCATCCATTCTGAAAAAGAACTCGGAAGGCTAAAGTGGTATTTTTGTAAATTTTTTCTCTCCTAGTATTCAGTGCAAACCTTAGTTCTGGAGAAACTAGTACTTACAGGCCTGTCATGAGGGCTTCTGTGCGTGGAACTCAAGCTCACTTGGATTCAGAGACTTGCTGGGAGGCAGAGTCCCTTTTTAATCATAAGGAATATCATGTGTTTCTAACAATGAAGCACAATTACCATGTTTTAGATGTATCTCAAACTCTGTAATTCACCAGACAACATTCACTGCTGCAGACAGTAGCTGTTTTTCCTTTATGAGGAAGCAGATCATTTGTCAAGGTAAAAAGCAATAGAAGTAAGATTTATACAAAGTTCAACATGCAGATATGGAAGAACAGTTATTCACAACTACAGTTTTTCTTTCCCTTCTTCATGTGAAAGCTTTAACAACATTTTATGATTTGACTAAATTCCTAGGTGAGATCCCTGACATTCTGCTTAAGACAGTGAGAGAAAATAGGTAAAAAAAGCTATTCAGTGTTCTGACAGCTGTTATGTTTATCTTGCAGTATCTCCGCCTAGGAATGTTTGAATTGCATTGTGATGAATTAATAAGTGCTTTGGTAAAGCGAGCAGATAATATTTGTGAAAAAGTTATTTCCAAAATGTTGAAAGATCATCAAGACATAAATGTGAGGTAACTCTCAAACTCAAAATGTGTATTGAAATATACTTAATTTTGTTTCCACTGTTGAATTTTTTTAATCCATAAAGAATATGTTAATCTCATTTTTTTGTTACAAATGTATGTGATGTTTTCCAAGGATGATTAAAAAAACCCAACGTGCCAAGCTGGTTATTTTATGTATTTTTCAGACTATGCGATGAGTTTGAGAGAATATCAGAAAAAGCCCTTACTACTCCGTCTAATACACAGGAACTAATGGAACTTAAGGTACTGTCATTTTTTTTTTTTTTTTTTTTTATGAGTCCAAACAAGAAGTAGCTAGCAGTGCTATTGCTCTGACCTTAAGCAATAGCATATGCAAGTTGCCCCTTTACAGATATGATTCTGGCCTTGTTAAAGTCACTGGTGCTATATCTGTATTACAAAATAGAAAAGGACAGGTCATCTTTGGCCATGAGGTTGAATGTCATAGTCTGGCTCTCATATATACAGCTAAACTCTTTTCCCCACCAAAACGTCATGGTTGCAATCAGACTGCTTATTTGGAACAGTCCTCTGTCTCTGCTGTCACTTGCCCTGTACGGTGGCAGTATTGGTGAGAATGCCAATTGACATGGACCAAAACCCTGTCTCCAAAGGCAGCTGTCTCCAAAGTGGAAGGTGTGCAGCCCAGGGTGTGCACAAGATGGTCCATTGGAGTATGCGAAGGAAATAGAACTTTCATTTATACTTCTTTTTAATCTAAAAAAGTGAGAAAGAAATTAGCTTTACCAATATTTAATATATAGATTGACACTGGTGCCCTTGCTCAGTCAGAGGGCCCTGTGTCACGTATGTACATGAGGTGTCCTAAGGAAAGTGAGTGTTCCACAATGTGGAGGGATTCAGTGACACCCTCGCTTGTTCACTTGCTTTCGGTGTATTACTATGTATTGCAGTTTGCGAGCCCAGTTAAGTAGATTTACAGATTATGTTATCTAGTTTTAATAACCTAGCCATTACAAAGTGGTCAAGTGGCTTAAAAAGATTCCATCGCAGAAACTGCAGATTGACAATAATACTAGTAATGTGAGCACGAGTGATCAACAAGAAATGACAGCTGACAATTCTACCCCTAGTACAAGCTCTTCATTGTCCGCATTATGAGGTAAAAATAATGATGGTCTAATCAGATTTGACAAGTTGGCCAAAAAAAATCAAAATTATCAGGAAGACAGTTCAAAATATGAATTTACGTCTGCTGTTGCTAATGGTGTACATTGTCTGAAATGTCTGTTCTGCCTTGAGATGCTAGTTAATGATAGAATGAAGGCATCACACTTAGCAAGATATATAAGAACTAAGCGTCTGGATCATGAAGACATACCTCTACAATTTTTTCAGTGAAGTTTCAAGTCATGAGATACTCAATCCAGTACTCTACAAAATGTAATGATCCATGCTTAGAAGACTCGGAAGTCTCTTCTTACCTAATAGTGAAAGAGAAAAAGCCTCATACCATTGGGGAAACACTTGTTCTTCCTGCTGTGGTAAAAATGGCTGAAATAATACATGAAAAACAATATGGTGACAAACTAAAATGTGTTTCTTTGTAACAGCAAATACTGTTAGAAAAGGCATGGAAAACATTGCTGAAGGTTTATAGAAACGAGCATTGGAACAAATTGCGCAGTGTGAGAGATTTGCTATGCTATTTGCTATTACTTTTTTAGCAGCGTGGCTGGCTGATTTGAGCCTGTTAGTAATAAAGGTATTTAGTTAGTAATATAGGTATTACATGGAAGTTTTGTCACTGATTTTCATGAAGCAAAGCATTTGTATATAATGGCCTGGAATAAGTGCATGGGTTTATTTCTATCCCCATCTAGCTAGTGTAAGCAAATAACAATTTCTGTAGCGTGGGCAACACGTTAGTAGAATTAAATTTAGACTGCATGTTCTTCGGGCCTCTGAACAGATAATGTAGTCAAACAGCGAATATGTCCTTATTGTCCTGAATTAAATTAAAGCAATAGAATTAGATGTGGAACACACAATATGCATTCCCAATATCCTAAACTAATAAGAGAGTGTGAAACCTGAGATGTAGGGACTTTAATATGTATTTAATTCTTCACAAGAAAACTTTAAAAACCACTCATTGGCAAGTTGTATGAAGTAATTTTGCCTTTATTTCCTTTGTTGAATAATCATTTAAAATTAGAAAATGTAGGGTTTGTCATTCGGTAACTGTAAAATCCCATCTCCTCACTTACAAGTGCCACTTCTGTAATCAAAACCCTGCTGTTTCTTTGATGTATTCAGGCTTCAGTTAAGCGAAGCACTTATATTCACACTTGAAATGTAACGTGTCTTAGTTTTTGCTGTTCAGTAAGGTACTGCTGTGTACGTCCAATATTAAATGTGTGGAATATAGGTGTGTACTTAAAATAAATTCAGTGCTGAATTTGGATCTGAGTGATTCGAACTGTTGTGATAGTGAAGTTCAACACAGACTATAACTGGAGTAATTTTTTAAGTAAAACGTTTAGAAAATGAACTATGTGCTGTCTGGGAATATGGTGCCTTTAAAATGCATACATGTTATGATATAATTTTGTGTTGGAGAGTAAACAAATTGCATGTAAACATATGTATCATGTAATATACCAGTATCAAACCCTACTAGTAGTTCTTCAATCTCATTGCTGAAAAGATGTATCAGTATTTGTTTGGGGTGTTCTTTTAATAGCCAAATGTTCTCTAGATCTATAGCAGTTAAGTATATTCTAAAGAATAGAAACTGCTGTTAAAAGAGCAGAAACATAGATTTACTGGACAATTTATCCCTACCTAAAAATGTTTCCAGCAGTATCCCATTGTGTCATCATATTAAATTATTCTGTATCTTCAATTGAAGCATAGCAAGTAATATTTACAAATACTGGTATACTATTGATCTGTCCAATTGGACACCATTTTTAGTGATACAGCTCTTTTCTTGTTAAGAGGCTTTCAGAGTGCTTCATTATGGATTATTGTTTAAACTGGGCTCTGTTGCCATTCTGTTAAGAGTAACATACAGAATGCTATGTGTATCAATGCAGTTTACTGCTAACTCTTGAGATCTGAGAAAACAGCATAATTTTTATTTTAAGTGGCCATCTATATTCCTTATATTCTTACAGCTAGGGAAGACTTAATCTTACATTGGGCCATTCACTGCTTCCCTTTCTGAAGTGTGTCCTTTTTTTCTCTTGTGGTTATTTACTAATTTTTCCTTTGTAGCACCACACTTTCTTTCCCAAACCTGCAACACTTACAACAGGCTGTCTGGATTGGCTTCCATTAGTTCAAACATTTGTGCATACAGCTTCACCCATTCTTTTGAGTTTTATTCAGTAAAATAGTAAGGCAATTTTATTAGTAAGTTATATGCTGTAAAAATGGCTAATACCATGCCATTCCAGATAAATGCCTTTTCAGATCATGTATTTCTATTTTTATTTAATTTTCCTTGTAAAAAAATAAGCTTTTAAATTTAAATATTAACTACTTCGAGCATTGTTTTGGCATTAAATTATATAAAAAATTTCCTCCTTTTTAATTTATATTCCCCAGGCCTGTATGCAGAAAATGCAAAAGTGTGACATGCTTGAATTGGAGCAGAAATTAGTGGATGCAGTAAATTGTGTTGATTTCCTGATAGAATGTGTCAACTTTTCACCAGCAGACATTCAACTGAACAGTGATGTTTTCCAATGGTATGCACGAATGCCAGATGTCTTTGAGGAGCACAGAAAGATAATTAAAGAAAAAACAGAGCAATTTCAAGATGGCCTTAAGGTTTGTAATGACAATATTTTAAAACCCCTTGAGTTACTAATTTTGAATGGCATATAGGACATAAAATAATGGATGGAACAACTTTTTTTATTTCCCCATATATTTTAAAAAGAAGGTTGAAGGTAGATGTTTCTAGATTATTCTTGATATTAACTAATTCTTGCCTGCTTTCCACACATTCACTTTTCAAATATCCACAGTTACTGCAAGAGACAAGCAACGTCTCACGTTTTGTGCTCTGACAGCTCTTTGGTTACAGAACTTCCAGTGATGTTGATAAAAGTTGACTGTATGTGAAATAGTAAAATTCAGACAAATTCTTTAAAGACATGTACATGGCTTGATTTGTGCACATGAGCAGTCCCTTTGGAGTCAATGGCAGTATATGAAATTTCTATGAGTTTCAGCAGCTCCAAAAAAAATCTGTGTTAATTTGTGTGATTTTGCTGTTAGGATATTGTCAAATAAGGTATTTTTATAACATAAGTGCATCTTGATTCAGGTTTTTTTTGTTTTTTTTTTTTTAATCTCTTATAGTTTACATGTATCTTATCTCTCTTAGGTTTTTTTTTGTTATATTTACTAGGCTTTTGCAGTACAGTTTGTTATATTATCTAAGCGGTGGGGTCTCTCCACAAGGATTACTAATTACTAGGCTGCTGATCTGTTACAGCTACTGCCTGTGTAGCTGTCTGCTTTGATTTTCTTGTGCTGCTTAGTCTCACCATCATTTTGTCTTAGATCATACAAATTTTGAGATAGTGAGCTTTTATGTTTATGCAGTATGATTAAAGAAGTAGCTGGTAAGTATTACTGTTGCTGATGTCTTCTCCCAGGTATCTAATGATAGGACGTGTGGGAATGGTTCCAAGCTGCACTAGGGGAGGTTTAGACTGGATGTTAGGAAGCATTTCTTTACTGAGAGGGTGGTCAAACACTGGAACAGGCTTCCTAGAGAGTTGGTCAATGCCCCAGGCCTCTCAGTTTTCAAGGCATTTGGACAATGCCCTTAGTAAGATTTAGCTTTTGGTCAGGCGCGAATTGGTCAGGCAGTTGGACTAGATGATCGTTGTAGGTCATTTCCAACTGAAATATTCTATTCTAAAGTACAGAGCGGGACTTGTGTTATAAATAAACATGCAGCATAGACTGTGTTATCTTCAAACATGTTACTGCTTTGTATGGTTTGATGCTTGGTTTCAGACACTGACCACTACTGATAATATGAAATACGTGTTGTGGAGTCGGATATATGAGGAAAAAAGTATCCTTGAACTGTATGTCTTCAGGACAACAGGCGTCTCTGTCTTGTGAAACTGTTTAGCTTCATCTGTCATTTTATTAATCTAATCCTATTATTCTATTTTAATTTGAGTTATGCTAGGCATTTGAATTTAGCTTTCTATTATTAGCCTGCTGACTGTGTCCATCAGAGAGAGCAGAAGTTCCTATGACATAGAACCCAAAGTCACATCTGACAGCCCAATAAGTCACTTCAGGTAACAGTAGGATTCAGGGCAAATTCTGTAATTTGGGTGGAATAAGATACTTATGTGCAAATATGTTGTATATCTTGGGTTTTCTGCAAGTATGAAGTGTCCTACTATAGCAAATCAGAGTAGTTATTCCTTCTTTTTACAGAAATTTATTGTGATTTTTTTTTTTAAATGAATATGCTTGCTTCATGTTTAGATACGCTGTGAACAATTTGTTGAGGAACTGAAAAGCTACTCTAAGCAGGTTGAAGAACTTAGCACATTGGGAGATATTCAGGAAGTCAACAGGTATTTGAAGAAAGCTCAGGCATTAAATACAAAATTGGATCTTGCTGCTGAAAAGGTACAGATTATAGTCTAAACTAGTCCAATATTTTAAATTGTAAATCTTAGTATTTGTGTTATCAGAATCAACAGTTATCTCAGTAATGCAGTTACTGAGATGTGGCAAAAGAATTCTTAATTCAGCTATGAAATATTTTTACGTGATTTGCGATTTAAACTGCAAATTTCCTGAGCACAGTAATTTGTTACTATGTGGTCTTGAGTTAATATGGCAGCATTTTGCATAGTGGAAGAGTGGATTAAGTTTATGTAGGTTTGCTATGTTCTTGGAAGTGCAACTCCTGATGCTCATTATTATCTCCCATCTGTTAAAGCCACCATGATAATGCAAATTATAGAGGAATGCCCAGGTACCATTTTAAACCTCTAAATATATCTCTCTATTGACTAGCATGAATGCTTAATTTGAAACTTGTTGAAAACCCCAGAAAACCTCTCTAATTCCTGTGGTAAGGACCTGGTATCACGAACAGCTTTGTATTTCAGACCTCGTTTATGTCTCAACAGATTGATCAATTTAATTCAGAAGAAGAGTCCTTTGGATGGCCAGTATCTCAGTACCCTCAGCATAAAAACCTCCGGAATACTCTTGCTCCATATCTTTGCCTCTATGATATGACTGTTGAATTCAACAGAAAACACAAAGACTGGACAGAGGGATCACTTACAGAAGTGGATCCAGACAAAGTAGAGGTAGATGTAGGAAACTACTGGCATGGACTGTATAAACTAGAAAAAGCCTTCCACAATTCTCCAAATGCGTTAACAATAGCAAGACAGGTTAAATCAAAAGTGGAGGAATTCAGATGCCACATTCCTCTAATCCAAGTGATTTGCAATCCTGGTTTGCAAGAAAGACACTGGGAAGAGATGTCAAAAATTGCTGGTTTACCACTGTCTCCTTCTGAAGACTCAAATGTCTTATCATATATTAACTTGCATCTTGAACAGTTCCTAGAAAAGTTTGAGACCATCAGTGAAACAGCCAGTAAAGAACATTCACTTGAGAAAGCTTTAACAAAAATGATTTCTGAATGGGATCAAATGGAATTCACTCTTCTTGCCTACAGAGAAACAGGAACCCATATTTTGTCATCTGTAGATGATATTCAGATGTTATTGGATGACCACATTGTCAAAACTCAGACTATGAGAGGATCTCCATTCATTAAGCATTGTGAAAATAGAATAAGGTAATTTTTTTTTTTTCTAATAGAAATGTTACCAAATAAGAAATCTTTTCTGCTTAATGTAAAGCATAGGGACTTCAAATGGTTTTGTTTATTCTCCTTTTAGCAGTGAATTAATCTAATTTTAAAGGGCTAGAGCTTTTGTCCCATGTCAGCTACGCACTATTTAATCTCATAAAGCTGATTTTTACTTTTAATTAACAATATGGGAAATGTTAATGCATTGGAGAGGTGGCTAAACATTTTTAATGCCGTCTGGTACGTAAGGTACCATGTGCATCATAACATTACCTTTTGTTTTACCACATAAAACATATCTGAGGAATAGATGGAAAGGTTGTAGACTAAAAGAATATAGTCTAAACTTTCTACCTAAATTATAAAGCTACTGAATCTTTTTAGATCTTCAACAAATAAAAATGCTAGGGCTTATGAAAGGGAGATGAAGAGAATGAAAACAAGGCAAATTTCAGGGAAGTGATAAAAGATTTATTTTTTTTTTTCCTAATGCAGAAAATTAAATTTTAAAACTTAGCATTGCATGTTAAAAATTCTGTACATCCATCTTTGAGTATAGATTTTAATCTGATTTTGTCTCTTTCCTCAATAAATACTTTACTTGCTTCTTAAATCCCCCAAACATAGCCATATTGTGAAAAAACAAAAATCTTTAATCTAAAGTTTGGCTATAGTTATCTAGTTATATAAGTACCTCCAAACTCCCATTAACCTGCAAAAATGCTATTTCAGATATTCAATAAATATGAATATACACTTTCATATACATACACGTTCCAATAAGTATTAATTCTCTAATTACTATTGTACTGTAGTATAAGAGTTACTTCCTTATTAATGTAAAATGGTAGGTTTTGCCTGTTTAAAAAGAGTAAGCACATCATGATAATTTCATCAGAGTTTTTTGGTGACTGACAGCATTTGTAATAATGCAAGCTATTACTATTACTTCAGTCTTTGAGGTAACTACACAATGGCTGCTTTCTCAATAACCCAACAAAGCATGTAGAATTCTGGATTGCACCAGAGATTATTCCAAATTCCTTGTCTTCATTTTTGTGTACTTTTGGTGTAAGCAAATTAATTGACCTGCCTAACTTTCCTCTTGGAAAGCTGCATTTTTCTCTACCTCTTGGTAGAAGCAAAATCACTAGAGATGAGGTACCAATACCTAAAAAATGAAAGAGGGACTTCAAGTAGAGGAGAAGGTACATGCAAGCAAAGCTATCTGTTGTTTAGGATCTGTGACAGGGAAATGAATGAAGGAAGAAGTATGCTTTCATATGTATCATTTTACAGAACTCAGTACAGCCCATATATGAGTGTCCTGTTGATAGAATTATTATAAAAAGTGCATGCTGTTAAAATATTTATTGTATAAATGAACTTAGGCAATAATTTTATCTGAACTGTCCAGTAGCATAAGAGTTGTAAAAAATGATACTCACTGTTTTTATACAGGAAAAAGAATACATGTACTTTTTATAGGATTATATATAGCATTTTATTTTTATATATTTTTTGCAAATTGCTTAGGTCAGTGAATTAGGAATACCAATGACATTAGAGAACTGATAATATCACATCTGTCTGATATTGGTGAGATAGTAAGGAGTGTCAAATGGTGGTGTTAATTTTAAATGATGTAGAAAAATAGAGGAGACTCTAGAAAAAATGGTAGACTAAAGGATCTTGAATTTTTGGCAATTGAAAGGAAAGACTGATTAGCTGTTGAATTATAATATTCTGTACCCATGGTGGTGTGCAGTAATGTTGAAGGACTGTAATCTATCAGACAGATGTTTTCAACATCCACATTTGGAATTCTAAGTCAGAAATAAAATGTGACTTAACCATTGGACTCCATTGGACTATTTACTATTTGAAATCTTTTAATTAAGACCATATGTCTTTTTAGGACAATGTCTACATATTTTTGATTTAGTAGTTTAGGTTACTTTCATGTCTGTCTTTGCCATCTCAGCCTGTCTAGATTAGCAAACAGAAATAGTAGTCTGGGCTTTGGTGTATGCCAGAAACCAGATTACATACTCAGTTGAAGTGAATTTGTCCACAGATACTATGACATGCTAAAGTATGTGCTATGCTTACTCACTGATAATGCTAGTCTATTTATTGGATTAACCTATTTCATTAAATCCTACAGTCAACTTTACAGATGATCCAGTTGCAGAAATTAACGTGGACTTTGTTATGCAGGATATCAGGCTAGGTGACTACGATAATCTGCTGAAATCTTAAAAATTATACTTGTTGTCCTTGCTGATGAATATGAAAATTTCCAAAAAAGATCTTAGCAGTTTGCTGGAAATGCTTTATGGGAAGCATCAATTAATGCATTTGAACTAATGCTATTTTATAGGGAATGGGAAGGAAAGCTATTATTGGTACAGGAGATCCTGGATGAATGGCTGAAGGTTCAGGCTACTTGGCTTTATTTAGAGCCAATTTTCAGTTCTCCTGACATCATGGCTCAGATGCCCGAGGAAAGTAGACGATTCAGTTCTGTCGTTAGGATATGGAAAGACTTAATGAAAGCAGTTTTTCAGGTAAGTACCGCTATCTTAAGATAGCATTTTTAGCATGAATTTTAGTACGTACCCCCAAAAAATTGCTTCTGATAACACGGTAACCTATTTTCTATTTCATCTTAGCCTCCTTTTTTAGATTCTTTTAAAAATTGTTTTGCAGAACTGTTTCACATAGAATCATAGAAGCATTGATTGGGAGGGGCCACTGCAGTTCAGTTAGTCTAACTTCTTTCTAAAAGCAGAACTTTTGCCAACACTACATCAGGTCAGCCTCGGATTTGTTTAGCCAAATTTAAAAAATCTCCAAGGACAGAGATTTCTTGCAGATTACCTCCAGAGACTTCAGTGCTGTGGTACCTTCCTAGTGAATGATTTTTTCCTAATGTCCAATCTGAACCTCCCAAGCAAAGATATGTACCTGTTGCCCCTTGTTGCCCAGCTGTCACTGCTGAGAATTTGGCTCTGTTTTTTTCAATTGCTCTTTATGTAGTTGCTGGCTACAGTTAAATTCTACCTTAATTTCCACTTCACCAAACCGAACAAGTCCAACTCGCCCAACCTCTTCTCATAGGTCATGTGCCTTTCTAGTGAGTAAAATTAAGCAGCATACAAACCAAAGTGACACAGCAATGATGATCTTGGCACTGTAGGTCAACTGATATGAATCAATTAAATTTTATACTCACTGTTTCTTTTGAAAAATGCTGTTTATTTGCATATGGAATGGTAGAGATGCCTGTATGACTTTAAAATGTTTAGATATTTAACTTGCTTCAAAAGTACTATTCTGATCTACTATAAATTAATACAAAAGGCAGTTGTCAGACACCATCACTGCACACATCTAGCAGTTCAAAATGTTACTGTCTTGCCAGTCTGCTTCTTATTGGACCCTTTCTGGAAGTTAGCGCTGTTATTAGGACCAATTGATGAGATCATATGAATGCTCTTTCCTTCAGTAGTTAGATGATCTCAGGCTTGGATTGGGTTAGATTGGCTATATTTGCTAGCCTAACTGGATGAAGAACACTCCTACAATCTCTTCTGCTGAGAGGGCAATAGCTTCTAGCAAAGATGTGGTACTACTAAGGGAAGAGGTAACATCTGAAACTGGCACAGCTGATTCTTCAACAATAACATGATCAATGGTCTGAATGCATGCTCTACAAATTCTGTTCCTCAGGGAATAACCAGTTACCTAGTAATTCTGGTAATCCTGTTATGTAATTGTAATGATTCTAAAAATGTTTAGAGAAAACTGCGTTCATTCTGAAAAAAGTCCCTAATATCAAGGATGTTTCTAGTAGGATGTTGCATTCTTAATTTTTTTTTTAACTGAGCTTACTAAAATATTCAACAGACTTGAGAAGATTTATGAGGTCCACTGTTTTCCAGAGTAGGGATATAAGGTTGCCATTTGAAGGAAAATATTAGAAGCTTTTGTGGTGGGTCAACCCTGGCTGGACATCAGGTGCCCACCAAAGCCACTCTATCACTCCCTCTCCTCAGCTGGACAGGGGAGAAAAAATATAACAAAAGGCTAATGGGTTGAGATAAGGCCAGGGGGAGATCACTCACCAATTACCATCACATGCAAAACAGACTCAACTCAGGACAATTAATTTAATTTATTACCAATCAAATCAGTTGAGTAATGAGAAATAAACCCAATCTTAAAAACACCTTTCCCTCTATCCTTCCCTTCTGCCCAGGCTTAACTTCACTCCCAATTTCTCTACCTACTCCCCCACAAGTAGCACAGGAAGATGCGGAATGGGGGTTGCAGTCAGTTCATCCCACGTTGTCTCTGCCGCTCCTCCTTCCTCAGGGGGAGGACTCCTCGCACTCTTCCCCTACTCCAGCATGGGGTCCCTCCCATGGGAGACAGTCCTCCACAAACTTCTCCAGCGTGAGTCCTTCCCAGGGGCTGCAGTTCTTCAGCCACGATTCCAGCCTGAGTCCTTTCCATGGGGTGCAGTCCTTCAGGAACAAACTGCTCCAGCGTGGGTCCCCCATGGAGTCCCAAGTCCTGCCGGCAAACCTGCTCCAGCCTGGGCTTCTCTCTCCATGGGTCCACAGATCCTGCCAGAAGCCTGCTCCAGTGCGGGCTTCCTGCAGGGTCACAGCTTCCTTTGGACATCCAACTGCTCTGGTGTGGATTGCGGTCCTCCATGGACTGCAGGTGGATATCTGCTCCACCACTAACCTCCATGGGCTGCAAGGGGACAGCCTGCCTCACCATGGTCTTCACCACGGGCTGCAGGGGAATCTACTCCAGTGCCTGGAGCCCCTTCTCCCCCTCCTTTTTCATTGACCTTGGTGTCTGCAGAGTTGTTCCTCTTGCATATTCTTACTCCTCTCTCCAGCTGCAATTGCTCCTGGTGTTGTGCAGGTTTTTTTCCCCCCTTTCTTAACTATGTTATCCCAGAGGTGCTATTGCTGTCACTGATGGGCTCAGCCTTGGCCAGTGGCAGGTCCATCTTGGAGCCAGCTGGCATTGGCTTTATCGGACATAGGGGAAGCTTCTAGCAGCTTCTCATGGAAGCCACCCCTGTAGCCCCCCTGCTACCAAAACCTTGTCATGCAAACCCAGTACAGCTGTATTTTCATCAGTCTCCTGCCTTTGCAGACCTTTCAGAGATCCATTATGTCATTAGGACAAATGCTAAAACCTTCACTCAGTCTTAAAAGCTTTTGATTTGGGTTCTTTTCAGATTGCAGATATGGAGTTAATGTAGGAATACAGAAAATGTGTAGTATACAGAAAGAAGCATCTGCTTTATTTCCTGGCAATTCAGCTTGATAAATTAAAAATAAAGTTATTTTTCATTTTTTATCATCTTCTTTCTTTCTCCTTCCCTTTCTCCCCTTTCTCCTTCTTTCTGTCTTTCTCCCTCCATCTTACACTCCTTCCCCCTCTTCTTTATCTTTCTTTCTTCTGATTTAGAAGAAAATCAAGAATTTATCCCATAGAGCTGTGAAATCAATAGTATTCATTTTGGGGAAGAAATTGGGTAAAAATAAAAAAGGGCAAGAATTTCAGAATTTTGTTCAGTGTATTTCTGAACATTGTGTGCTGGATAATCTGTTTTGATAAAATCTTCTAATTCAGACATTCAATGGTAATCAAATACAAAGTATTTTTGGAATGAGAGATATATTGTCATTGGCAGTAAAAAGAGTCATCTTTTGTTTGTAAAGAATACTCTAAATGCCGGAATGGAAGTTTAACAATCTAATGTTGATTTTGCCTAAACAAGTAGGCGTTATTTTCCAGAAGGTGGCACTCTGTTTCCACAAATGTAATGTTTGAGTTTCATAGCTTAAAAGAATGCTCTTCCCTGGTCTATACGAATGGTCTTTCTTAAAGCATAAACCTAACTTGAGTCTGTTCGTGCTTTTTTGCATTTATATCCCATTGTATTATAAAATTGCTGTGTATTATAAAATTACTTTGTTTTCTTAGCTTTTCATCACAAATTTGAACAGTCATATATTATTCTTTCATTTTAAATATCTAATTTAAGCAATGCATGTTAAAGAGGGTTAAATTACTTAGTGGTTTAATTTCCACTTCCCATAAATTTAAAAAAAATAATCTAGGATATGGAAGCTTTTCTGTCTTTGTGGGGAAGAAAGCAGAAAAAGCCAAAAAAAAGCAAGAAAAAAAATCCAACCAAAAAAATATTCTAGGCTGTAACCTGTGATATGTTAATTATATTTAGAAACTAGAGTTAGTGATGGTCTTTTAACAGGGTACTCAAACTATTTTTATATGCCTGATTTATACTATTTTCTTGATACATTTTTTACCCCCTAATTGACACTGACAGTGTCACTAAGTTACACTGATGTTTTGAATGACTAAGAATGATGGCATTCCCTTTTTTCTTCATGACTTAGTAGAACTGTAAATAGGAAATCTATGTTGAAGCATAATTTTTTTTTCCTGACTTTTTCTCATATGAAAGAAAAAAACAAGCAGGAACAATCCTATTTATAAAACCAGTTGCACTTATTCTATTTGCTGATGATAAATATGCTAAGAAAGGGAACAAGAACTCTGACAATGTATAGTTATGCTGTTATTTGTGCATTAAAAACTGTTTCATAAAACCAATTATGAAATAAGTTTGCATGCTGACACCTTAATTGTCTATGTATAGATGAAAAGTATATGTAGCTATTGAGTTGGTTTTTGTTTGGTATGATGGAAGAGGCAAGTAACAAGGTAAATGTATTTCATGTACAAAGGAACACTATTGTATTAGGGAGGTGAACCCCCATGAAGATCAATTAGATTAACATCCAATTCTGGGTTTTTTCAGTAGATTGGAAGTACATGTGTAATGTGAGCAGGGAATTGAACCAAAGCTGAATGTGCATGCGAATAATTTCAAAAAGTTATGAGTTTTTGAACTGAAACTGAACTTGGAATTTGTTATTAAATTTACCAAACCGAAGCTGAACAGTAGTCAAGTTACTGGGTTGAATCTGTATTGTCACCCTATGAGGGTTTTGTTTCTTACAGATATCTTTTGCACCTTCTGAGCTTTGCACAGCAGTCTAGCTTGTCTCTCCTCATCTGTCCCTTGCAACATGAGTCATCTGTGCTTCTGCTCTGTGAATCTGTGACACCGCAAACTCTATCAGGGACTTTTCTGAATGGGACATTCTGTATTTGTAATGGGCTCTGACAAAGCTGTTCCTAGTGGAAATAGTATGGGTGCATCTTTGATTTCTGCTGTCTGTTGTTGGGACTATTCTTTATTGTTACTGTCAGCAGTTCTTCTAGCCCCTCAGTACATTGAGTAGACTGAAATTCTCCCTATCACTCTCTTTGGTGCTTCTTTTGTTTGGATATACCTGTGGCTTTTTTCCTTTTAATCCTGGGTATGTGTTCTATGCTGTGTGCTTACATGTGCAGACTCACTGGACAGAGCAGAAGGGACCTAAATGTTGACTAACATTTCTAGTTAGCTCTGTTTCTATCTCACCTGTGGTCATTTTGGCCCTATTTAAATTCCTGGGAAATGCAGTCTGATTTAGGTAGTAAGGGAGAAGCTATGGCAGAAGCTGTGTTCCCAGGCTTTGGGAAGTGGAGCAGGGGATTGGGATTAATCAATCTCCATTTCCTTGCCAGGACTTTGTCATTGTAGAACGTTATCCATTGCAACATGAGTGGGCTTGAATCAGTTCACGGTTAACAAGTCAGTTAACGTACTGGCATGGGCATGAACTAGAACTGAACTAGAATAAATCCAGTCACAGATGAGCCCAAGTCTGTACTGGAATGGAGCAGAAGCATTTGCTTGGTTTGACTTCCTCAGTCATAAATCTGCACATTTTCCTACTTTGCAATGTGTGTCTCATTCCCAAAACCCCATGCTTGGTGAGCAGGATTAAAAAATTTAATGATGATTAGGCTATAAATTGGTTATAAGGCATATTAAATGCTAGAACCTGATGTTTGGACACCTGTATTTCTTTAAAGCTTCTTAGCTTGGCAACCTTTACAACTTTTCAAAATCTTTTTTGTTATTGTATTAATTCAGAGAACTTTCATCTTATGCAGTAGCTTTTCTAAGCATTTATATTAATTCAATTTGAGAGGTTAATTTGTAAAGCACTAGAAAGAATTTGGAAAGCTCTATATGTCTTAATGTATATTTTGTCATCTACACAGTGTATAAATATAAGAAACCCAGTGTTTATCCAATAGTGTATCTTGACAGGTCTTAATCTATTTCTATTGTAAAAAGAAATAAAAATATAAATTTTTTTATACTCCTAAAGCAAGTATAACTTTTCACATTTTGTTAGCAAAAACCTTTAAACATGTATTTAGCTAGTAAATGTATTAGGATCAGAGAAAACCTTTTTTTAGACCACATTATTATTTAGTACTGAAGTGTCAGTGTTGCCTATGTATAACTTTGCCATGTCAATACTTATAATCTTCTGCATATATTTATATATTTTATATGGAAGGAAATATTTTTGCATTGAACGCTGATAAATGATTACTACTTAATGTGTGATGGCATTGTAGTCGTAAATGTACGCTTTTAAAAATCCATCAAAATGTTTTAATTGTTCATGTTGCTTAATTACATAATCCAATTGAATAGCTTGTATAAATTGATGGTGCTCCAACAGAATGTTGGGAGTTGCACTGTTTGATGAATTAATTATTTTCAAAAATAATAGTTCATGTTTTGAAAAATTTACTTTAACACCAACTGCCTAACTACTTTTCCAGTGAACCCTGGCAAATGAAGAAGGTTAGGAAATTGTAACACTGACAATGGTTTGAGTAAAGCAGAATTTGAAATAAAGATTAATTTTGCTTAAGACTTCCTGTAGTGCTGTGTGGTGATTTACTTGAGAAGCCATCAACATTAACATCTGGAATAATTTCTTTTCCAGGGCAAGGGTGTGCTGACAGTAGTAATAATAGACAAGATGTTGGAAAAACTGAGGAAGTGCAATGAATTTCTGGAGCTAATTCTCAAGGGACTTAATGAATACCTAGAGAAGAAGCGCCTGTTTTTCCCCAGATTCTTTTTTTTATCTAATGATGAACTGCTTGAAATTCTTTCAGAGACCAAAGATCCTACTCGGTATGGTAATATTTAAGAGATGTATTTGTGACCCTGAGTGCATGCAGATAGTCTTGTCATATTGTTTCTCTGAGCCCAGAGCTCTCTTTTTTTCTCACTAACAGTTATGGTGTTAAGTATCTACTTGGTTAGATTTTGATAGGTGAACACAGAGTAATTTTTAATGTGGGTAATTAAATTCAGTTCTATTTTCTAAACTAGTAACCCTTCTATACACTGGTTTTCAGAAGGATCAGAAGTCCATATAGTAATTCATGGTGAAATTAACATACCTGATTTTTCCCATTAGAAAATTGAATATCAGATGGAACCTGTATACTGCTGACTTGAGTTTTACCTTTTTGGGTGCAGACCTAATTAAAGTATTTCAGATTTTTTTTTGCCATGTTTTAACTCTGGGATTTCTAATCACCTGACTCATTCAGGATTAGACTGCAAAAAGTATAATTCAGTTTAAGTCCTTCTGATAGTGAGTGGAATAAACTCTACAAGATTCCTGCAGAAGCGATCTCGTTAAGCAATATAGCCTTTGCTGTAAGCAGAGGAACTGGGGCTTGATTTCCAATATGCAGACTTGATAGCATGCAGTGAATGCAGTGCAAGGAAATGCAAAAATAAGAACAAAAAAACCCCCAATAAAAAGCCAGCTCAGTCACAGAGAAATATACACTGCAATGAACAGGATAAAAGATCTTGTGAGGAAAACAATCTTAAAGGTTTTTATTTATTTGTTTATTACAAGCTATTGTGTTAAGGTTGTATTTGGTTGCTTTTCTCAAATTCCTTAATGTTTACTATAGTTTGCTGGGATATAAATAATGGAATTTTATGTACTGCAGGTGGATTATCAGATAAAGAAAGAATACTTGTTTATCCTTACTTGTTTGTATGTTGCAGAGACTTTAAGTAATATTTTACATCTTTAAACCGATCTTCAAAAAATATTGTGGTAGGCACCTTGCAAGGGGTAGTACACAAGAATTACTGTTGAGGATAAACTTTTTTTTATACAAACATAAAATGATCTTTTAAGTAAATTGTTCAGAATTTTTTTTTAATAGAACTTCTTTGGTAGCATTGGCAAGAAAAAGTTGTCAGCAGTGGTACAATACTAGTTTTGTTTTCTAGAGTACAACCTCACTTGAAAAAGTGTTTTGAAGGAATTGCAAGAGTGGAATTTACTGAGGTATTAGATATTACACATATTAAAAGTAGTGAAGGAGAGACTGTGGAACTCGTAGAGACAATCTCGACATCAGAAGCTAGAGGTCAAGTTGAAAAGTGGCTGGTTGAACTGGAAGCAGCTATGCTGAAGTCTGTCCACAAGGTAACAAGTCTTAACCTCTTATTTTCTAGGCTAATGTCATTTAGCATTGATTTCTTCAGTAAACGTTAACATGTACTGAATTCACTTTTTTATTCTTGTGCCTAGCATGAATATTAAACCCATGAATTTAGTCTTTAAAGGTTATACGTTTTTGGCTTTGTGGTTGGTTGGTGGTTTTTTGGTTTTTTTTTTTAGTTCTGGTGTCAATTTCTGGTTGTAAAATTCTCTAAAATTCTTTAAAATTAAGTGGTAGAGTCAAAAACATTTGTGCCAAGGATTCTTTTGCCAGAGATTGTTCTACACTTGATGTCTTATTAAGGGACAAGATTAAACTGAAAGATTGCTCTCCCCCCCCCCCCTTTTTAATGTTCCTCTTAATTATGGCTACATTAATCAAGACCCTTAACTGTTCTCTCAGATCGTATCATTCTGATGTTTACAGTGTCTCATCATTGTGTTATATATTTAGCTATCTTTGTCATCTTCTTTTTTGTGGTCCTTTTCAGTGTCAAGTGAGGTAATTAAATGTGCACACACTTTCCCTGACTCTGTCTTACAGTACAACAGTTTAGTTATTGTAGTGACATATCAGTACAGAAGAAGGTGAATAACTTGATCTATTTGGTGCATATCAGACATGGACAAACTGAGCTGCATGAATAAGAAATGGTTCAGCACCATTTGTCTGCATTTAGCTTTGACTACAGAACTTTTATAATGATCTAAACCAGACAGCATTTACATAGTTTTAATGTCAATACAAACACATTTTCTCCTCACAGATGTATTTTTTTTATTGATGTTATTGTGTGTATAGATAGTTAAAAGCGAAGAGGCTTGAACTGCAAAGCAAATGGCAGATTTTCACTCAGGTAGTTTACGCTGCTTGTATGAGCAGCCATCCGAATTTATTGAGGAGTTTGTTGATAATAAGACTTTATTCTTGCTTGGGTCTTGTTAATGGCAGGAAAAATAACCTGTTGGTATAGACTGGAAGATTCTTTTCCAGTGCAAGTTTTGATTCAATTGGCATTATCCTTGAGTGGCACTAGAACCACGTTAATTATTCTATTATTAGAAAATACACTTGAAATTAGACATAAGTTTAAATAATATGATCTGCAAAAATAAAAGCTCTGGGTTTTACTAGAATGAACAGATGAAAAAACATTCAGTTTAGGATCTTACTTCTAACTAAATTGTATTTGTACCTGTTTTATAGTTTCATTGTAGATGGAGCTAGAAAATTTTAAGTATCTGATGGCCAAGAATCATTTCAGAATGTGTCGTGAAATCAATTCTCAGAAATTTGATGTGATCACTTTGTTCATATTATGACATTTTGGGGGGCTTTGAGCTTTGTTGAGAGATTTGCTTGCAAGATATCAGTATTATAGAGTTGAATTTGAGGCTGAATTTAGACCCTGATTTATTTTTTATTCTCAGTAATACAACCTGACATAAATTAATTCTAAAACTGAACATTACCTGTTTTCGTATGTAGTTATAGTGTGCTTTTTCCTGTCTAGGTCATTGGATGTGCACTTGAAGCTTATCCAAAAACTCCACGTGTTAATTGGGTAAGGGAGTGGCCTGGACAAACAATTCTTTGTGTATCGCAAACTTTCTGGACAATGCAAGTGCAGATGTCTATTAGAAATGGCCAAATGGTAAGAATATTTTAAATTTAAATTTATGTCAAATTGATATAATGCAGTGGTAAACCAAACCTTTGGTAATAACATTTTTGGATGAGTAAGTGTTCAATGTAATAGTTAATCTTTTAGATATCTACTTGAAAGATCTACCTGAAATGGGATCCTTGAAGACTTTGATGTTAATATTTCCTTTTGGATGTAGGCACCAATGCTTCTGCACTATGTCAGAGTGCATTCTATTTAGCTCAACATGTAGATGACATGTATCTGTGAAATCAGCGTAGTGATGTATTCAGGTGTACAGACTAAGGCAGCTTGTCTGTCTCTGGTTCAGAAGTCTAACTTATCTTCATTAATGTTTAGTGCTTTTTATGAAGATGGACTGGGACTAGCATTAGAAGACATATACCATCCTCACCCTTGTCAAATAATGAATAAACGTATATGCGTGACTGGTATAGAATTTATAATCTATTAGCTAATGCTAGTGGGAATTAAAGGTACTTAAGGCATTGAATTAAGGTTCAGGATACGTGTTTTGTAAAATCTTTCTTCTATTTATTGCTAAGACTTAATGCTCTCACCTGTTGTATTTGGAAGTGTTCCAGAATTAGCGCCATCAGATGAGGCAACTAGAATTTCATTCTCTGGTGTTTGGACAGAAAGAAACATCAAGGTTTTCACAGTTATACATGAAGTTATAACTTTGGGATGCTTCATTGTAGTCTTCTCTTCATTCCTATTTTTCGCAATGACAAATTGAAAATTGAAAGAGCTTCTACAGTATTGTGTTTTTGGCTTCTCCCTGTTCATATATAGCTGACCTGTACCACAAACACAAAGTTAAATCTAATCTTTAATCCATATACGGAACAGTATTTAAAGGCTGTATAACACTTTCTGCTTATTCAGAAGTTGAAGTAATGGCTCCTGGTAATAGTGCCTTTTATGAGCAGCTTCTGACATACAAGGGTAGGAAGCTTCTGAGTGTCTTGGAAGAGGGAATTAAAGGAAGTAGAGGACATGATCTGCTAATACAAGAAATAAATCTTGCAACAGATCAGAAGATTTGAAAAAGATTTGAAAATATTTTCTTTTCCTAGTAATAGAGGAGATCCACCTTTTCCTGGGAAAAGAAATAAAGCTTCTACATACTCTGCACCATTTATCTTTAATTAGTGAAAGACTTTCAGGAAGGAGAGACAGGATTTCTAATCTTAGAGATTTTCGATTAAAAACCAAAACCAAACCCAACCTCACATTAATGAGTCTGTAGTTAATGTTGTCAGTGAATAAAAGAGGAAGTTAAGCAAGGGTTAAATTAGCTTGCTTTTAGGAATGTTTATTATAGAATTCTGAGCCTAGACAAAAGCTCTTGTGCTGATCTGTATCAAACCTTTTCTGTACATGGGCATGCAGGGAAACCTTCCTGTAGCTTTCACTCAAATTCTGTTGCAGTGGGAATTCTGCTCATCTGGCTTCAGACCAAAAATCTTCATTCTGCTGTGGAAAGGACCTTGTATGTAGTGAAGCAGTGGAGAGGTATTTGCTTCTCCTGACAATCTCTCACAAATCTGTGGGAGAACAACTCTCAGCCTTCAATACTCTTTCTCTTTTCCATTCCTATGTTGTATACTAAAGCATAAAAAACATGACAGGCAATCAGTGACCACATGAGAGGCCAAAAGTACTTCATTCTGCCTAAAGCACTTCAGTGTATTCTGGGACAGGATGCCAATATCATTTAAGTCACTAATATTAAATATATGTTCACACTCGCATGCACACACACATACTCCCTTTCAAACATTTTTGAGTTGTTTCCAACAAATAACTGTTGTGATGCAGATACATAAATCAAAGGTGCGCATTTCTTATTAAAACCAAATAATGAACTAAGATGCTGTATAAAAACAAAGGCGTTTCATAAATTTTGAGAACATTGTCTTGTGGACCATGTGCATTCTCAGTGAAATAGAGTCATATGGTCAAAAGGATAGCACCAAGGAATATTACTGGTATGGGAGTTGAGGACATATTCCGTGCCTCAACTGATATCTCATGTTTGCTGAGGAAAACTTGGTGGTAAGCAAGTGGGTTATTATGCCTGACTTAAGTGATATATTTCAGATATTGTCCTGGTCAGAACTTCTAATGCAACACTGTGAGAATGAACTGCTTTTGAACTCTGTGGTTTTTTTTTTTATGAGAATACATCAGTATAAGTCATACTAAGCAGATGATTATCCAAACCTAATGTTTGGAAAACAGCTAGCTGAGATGAGAGATCTTAAAATCATCATAATCTCTTGAGAGTTACCAGTCGCCAGTGTGTTTGGAGACGAGCAGTAGGCTAGCAGGGAGAAAAATCTAAACCAGGCCTAAGTGAGTTTTTCTCCAGACAAATAGAAGCCATTCGTCTCTAGAAACATACTTTGTTGTAAATGTACTACTAAGGTTAATTCCCACTTTTGTATTTCAATTCAGTAAGGCACTTAACCACATCTAAGCACTGTCATGATACAAGTGCTTTCCTTAATTGGGCCTTTTCTGTTTACCAGCAACTTACTAGCATGAAAGATACTATCAATTACTGTGTAAAATAAATGATTAAGCTAACTGAACACAGACTATAACCAAAAGTCAATAAACTGAAAAATTGCTGGAAAATGCATTTTCTTGTTAACTCTTTTTGAATTATACATGTGTTACTGTTTCTAACTGTTGTAGGACATAAAGGAGTTTTTCTAGTGCAACACTGTCCCTTAACCATAGAAAGTATATTGTATACATATAAGTAGATCTTTAAAACACGTGGCATTTTCCCTTTCTTAATGTGAAATATATAAAAAAATAAGGACTATTTCCTGTGTTCCAGGAAGAAAATAGTGTATGCTGGTTTGTTTCCACGTATGTATCATTGATGTTTCACATACAGTTCTGTAAATGTAAAAAAAAAACAAACAACAAAAACACCAAACCGACCAAACTCTATTGAACTACCAGTGAATGAAGGACATTGTACTACTATTATAATGAGAAGGAACTTTTTAATACAGAGAAATAAAAGCAAAATAAGAAAAAATAATCATGCCTCAGAGGAGACATGCAACTTCTTAACTCTTAAAATTTTTGCAGGCACTAGAAGATTTTCTGGAACAGAATAATAGACAGATTGAGGACATTGTCACCTTGGTACGAGGAAAGCTGTCTAAGCAGAATCGAGTGACTCTAGGAGCACTTGTTGTGCTTGATGTTCATGCTAGGGATGTTCTTGCATCTCTAGTAAGCAAGAAAGTCAAAGATGAGAGTGACTTTGAATGGTTAAGTCAGCTTAGGTACTACTGGGAGGTAAGTGATACTTCTCAATCCTATTAGAAAGTAATTTCTGTTCACAGCTTTTCAATTTCTGCTTTCTTGCTGACACAGAGAATGTTTACACTACAATGAGAATTTCTGCTGATAAGAGAATACCTATAACCAATCATTTTATGGATTGCTAACTAGAATGGCCAGTAGCCATGCACAAACAGATTTTAATTAAAACTACTTTTTTCAT